GGCTCCGGCTTCTGCTCCGCCGGCTTCTGCTCCGCCGTCTTCTTCTGCTCCGCTGTCTTCAGTTATCTTCTGCGAAGTGTGGCTGGCAAGAGGGCTTATATAGCCCTTGGGTCACTGTGATTGGCTCAAAGTTATGCTAATTAGGGTTTGAAAAATGTACCAATGCTATTGGTCCAGACTTTGTCCAATCAGGTTTGGAAATAAGATGCTATTGGTCAATTCTATATTCCCACCATTCATTCATGTCTGCCCCACTTCCATTTTCTCAATGGAGGTTTACCATTGATATTAGAATAATGTGCCTTATTTTTTTTTCTGCTAGCCTTATCAGATTCAATTTTATCAGATGTATGTTGAATTTTATCAAATGGTATAATATTACATCATTTTTTTCTCTTTTTTACTAGTTATAAGGTGAATAATATATATTATAAATATATTTCTGTAATGAATCTGATTTGGTGATATATTAATCTTTAAACATAGTACTATATTTAATTTGCCATTATTTTATGAAATGCCAACATGTGTGTGTGTGTTTATATGTGGTGCTGTGTATCGAACCCAGAGCCTGGTCCATGCTAAGTAAGTTCTCAGTCTGCACTGTGTGTGTGCGAGTGCCTTGTTTATTTTGGTACAAGTAGATGCTAGCATCTTAAAATACTTGGGGAGATTTCCTTCCTTTACGTCATGTTCTGTAACAGTTTAAATATTACCATCAATTTCCATTCCTCAGAATTCACAGGGGAAGTACAGAGGTTGCTCTTTGTCAGCTTTCTCAGTTCTTACATTGTATCTGTTTTCTATAGGATTTCTATCTCTTCTTGGTCAATTCTGATCATTTATACTTTCTTAAAAAATTATTTAAATCAAGTTTTCAAATTTAAAAATTTACTATATTACTATATGAAAAATTTACATTACTATATGAAAAGATCTTAAAAAATTATTTAAGTCAAAATTTCAAATTTCAAATCAAGTTTCAAATTAATACAGAAGTTTACAAAATATTATTTTATATATTTTGATATTCCTCATAGGCATGGATTTACCCTATTTTTAAATTTTTATTTCTAATATTGCTTCATATGTTTAGTTCATTCTTTAAAGAACCATTTGGTAGGTTTAGTTACTATATATATTTTCCTATTTATAATTTATTCATTTAAATTTTTTAAATTTTATTTTCAAGTTAATTTATTTTACTTTCCTTAAGTTTTCTTATTATTATTCAAAATAATCTATGTCATCTCAGTCTGGAAAACTTACAAAACTATAAGCATGTCTTTCAAATCAATTAAATTTGCATGTGTATTTTGGCTTAATTAAATGGATTATTATAACTAGAATTTTCTTAATGATTATGAAATATATAGGTAAAAATCCTGTCAAATCCATTTAAAAAGTGAAAGCAAATATTTGTCTGTTGTATAGGTAGAAATGCACTTTGTCTTACTCTAGACTACAAGAAAAGTATAAAGTGGATCACATTTTCCTCTCACCTTCTATTTCTATGTGTTGTTCATTTTTTGAGGGAGCTGTCTACCCCATCACTGCCTGCTGGTTAGCACACACATGTTAATTTCAGACTTCCTATTCCCTTCTCTATCAAAATATATGCTGGGTCTCATTTCCTCAGTAATAGACTCACCCTAACAAGGCAATAGCTTGATGAAACTCACTAACATTAATGCTTGGTAACATCTGAGAATAGTACCTTACTATAATTTTTTTTTTTGTTTTTATGGAGAAATTTTGGAATATAATATCTTAGCCTTATAGAATTGGTGGTAGCGAGACCTTTTACTGGTATTTGAATTAAACAAAAAGATAACTTCTTTAAATGTAAAACTAACTTCATAGATTACAAAAGTATCTATTAACTTATTCACAACCTAATTTTTAAAAAGTATTTTATAAAATCACATTAAATGGACTCATTTTTATTTGTAGCCTGGTGGAATGAAAGCAGGAACATTTGAACCTTACCCATCACATTCTACTGACCCTTATGTGCTTAAACCAGGAAAGGAGGTTTCCAAAAAAGATGATAAGGTTTTTCATCCCCCAAGTGGACCAAAAAGCAGACCAATTGAAAGTATAATGAGTTTGAATGTCAAAAGGTAGGAATATCTTATATTTAGCCTAAGAGTCAAAAAATATTTTCAAATTTTAGACTTCAAAATATTTATGTATACACTTTTAAAAATTAAAATTTGACTTTAGAAATCTAAGCACCTTCAATATACCTGTCTTCCCTTGTAAAAAGCACTTTATCTCTAGTTATTTAAAACTACTTGATATTTGTACTTTAACAGTATACACTATCATTGGCCATTTCTTAAAGGGAATTTCTCAGCATTTGTGAGGAATCGTTTTTTCTTTTTCTTTTTTGAGACAGGGTCTCATTAAGTTTCTTAGAGCCTTACTAAACTGCTGAGGCTACGCTTGAATATGTGATCCTCCTGCCTCAGCTTTTTGAGTGGCTGGGATTACTAGCATGTGCCACCATGCCCTGTTAATTGTGAGGAATCCTAATGAGGCTTAAGAGTTCTGCCCCTAGCTTTGAAATAACCTTCTCTGCAAACAGGAAATATTCTGGTTGATTAAAAATGCATATATAATACTTATGTACTTATAATACTTATATTTGTCTGTTTAATTGCTTTGACTTTATTGAAATCTGATTTTACATTATTGCAAATATCCCACATCTAGTTTTAGCTTCTTTTCCCCGAATTTTAAAATGAATAAACCTTTGGACAATAAGAGTTAAAATTTGTTACATAATTGTTTCTCCTGTTAAATTATGTTTTCTAAATTTATCTGACTTTAATAAAAGATAAGTTTTCTAAGTTTGTGAGACAAATTTTGTTTCTGGATCATTCATATGTCATCAAATATATCAGTGTAAATTTTTAATGTAAAAATTTTATAGAAAATGTGGATATATTATCTGCATGTCTAAAATTAAATGTGCCTTTATTCAATTTTAGGGCACTCAATATGAAGAACTACAAGACTGCTTCATTACAGTCCTATTAGCAACTGCAAGACACGTAACTTTCTAAATCCTTACTACCAGTAACTTGTCATCAAGAGCTAATTATTTGAAAAAATGCAAAATGCAAAGTGTGTGGAACAGATAGCCTTGAAAAGAAATTTAACCTCCAACTCCAATATTCTTCCTGATTTTAGTACTACTACTTAATAAATAGTTTTTGCTAATAATTTAACATGCGATTTCTGACTTATGTTTTAGATTTGTGTTCCTAAGCAGAGTATAATGCTGAAAAATGTTATAAAATCTTTAAATATAGTCTATTACTTGGAACCTTAAAATTTCACAGTTGAGGACAGGAACAGAGAAGGCTGGAGGAGTAGACTGTACACCACAAATTCTTAACTTGCTTCTTTTTCTCAGAGTGTTGAAAAACTGTACTGATAGTTATCCAACTGTCATAGCCTACCATTAACACTCTAAACAAAGAAACATATTAGATCCATTTATATTGCACAATTTATATATGTATACATTATAGTGAGACATGTTTCAACTCATGGTGTCATATCTTCTATTTGTAACTTAGGTAGAACATCAGATTACTTAGCCAGTGGCAGCTCCAAGATAAGTTGAAGGGGAGAGGGGGAATGCATGGATTCATTCTTATAATTTGTAAGATGGATTTGTTTTTGGTATTCTCTCACGTTCCTGTAAAGCTGCCTCTTAGAGCATCCAGATAGATCACTCCAATGCTTTAGTTCCCAAGTTCTTTCTTCTCCTTAATCTGCCCTCTCTCTTTTAAAAATGTGCTTTAAATATGATTAAATATATTACTGTTATTTATAGTGTGGTCTCTAATAGTCTTCAATTCAATGGGGAAAGAGGTAGTGATGTTTGTATTTTGAAAAGGAAACTTAAAATGTATTAGGGAAGTTATTTTTGACCAATGATGCTTTTTGAGTATTTGTTCCCCTACCAGTCTAGGCTCTTCAGAGCTGAAAATTGGACTGGAGAGGTTTTAGGACTTTTTTCCTTTGTGTCCCATTGTTTTCCATCGGAGAGAACTATGTTAAGGTTTTTGAAAGGGTAAAGATAGTTTAAAGAATTTTTGCTATTTTTAATTTTTTTTAAAAAATTCATGCTTTATAATTAATTAGTGGGCAATGGATGTCTTAAAAATATTATCATGGGTATAATTTGATTCAAAGGTGACCTATGTCTTCCAAATAGAAATGGCTTTATTAGTTTTTCAGCACATAACTGAATCAAATTTATAGTTCTATATTGATAAATATTACTGAGTTTTATATATTCTTTTGAGATTGTAGCTTATATATGTAGACTTTATGAATATCTATGTAATTGCCCATTTTAACTCTATCTTTTGTTAACTGCAATTAATTTTTATTAAAAGTGTGTCTTTTTAAAGCAATGCATGGTTTACATAATATATTCATAGATGGGAACACTCATAACCTTACTGAAAAGTATGATTAATAGTATGACAGTGGCAGACTTCATCTAGGGTCTACATCACTGTATTGATTTTCAGAAAAGTAGATGCAGAAACCAGTAACAGGAATCATAAAACATGTAAACAAATTAAGATTTTTGGGACTCAGGAGAGGAACACGCATTCAATTAAAGGGGTGCAAACAAGAATGCCCGTTGTTTTTAGGGATTGAAAGCAAGGGTGCTTAATCACTGAGCCAAGTCCCCACCCCTTTTTGTAAATATTTCATTTTTGAGAAGAGGCCAGAACAGCCGCACCTCAGTAGACGAAAGACAACTGGATACTCAGTCACCACCAAAATGAGAAACATCAAGTGGAGGCCAGCAGGACCAGTCTCCTCTCTGCTCTTTGGCCCACCCTCCTCCATCCATGAGACTCTGGCTTCCTTGGAGAACTGTGAGGGGTAAAAGGGACAGGAGAGAAAGAGTCCTCCTCCCAAAAAAACTTAAACATTAAACTGGCCCAGTATTTTACCTCCAAGAGAGTACTTAAGATTGAAGAGATGGGGATACTTCAATTTGCCAAGACTATGTGCTGTCTAGGGCGCTGGAGAAAGATGCCAATATTTATAGAAAATGAAGTTACTTATAAAATAACACAAATACTTGTTTACAAGTTACAGTCTCTCTTGCGAGAGCATAGTGTTTACAAGTGCAGGATATAGCACAGGACAGGTACTCAGTAAATGCTAGATATATCAAATCAGGTACTGCCAAGGATGGCTGGATTTGCTACAACTGAAGGCACATTAGGAGGTGTGACTTTGGACCCTCTTTCTGTATTGTCTACACTTCACTGTCACCAAGTGATCCATTCTGATTACTAACCAACAAAATATTTACTTGATTTGCCTAAATAGTGCTAATTATTCATGCAAATAAGAACAATGAGTTCACATAATTAGCCTTTGATTCATTGAAATGAGTATATAAAGAGATACTCTGGAACTTCAGGATGACCAACATTTTTTTTTTTTCTAGGACCTCTGTCCTACCCAAGTCTTCATTCATTTTGTTTGTCTGCCAAACAATATTTCTGAGCACTGCTGTGTATCCAGGGCTGTTCTATCTATTGGGATCCAAGAGTAAACACCATATGTAAGACCCCTGCCCATATGAAGCTTACCTCCTAGTCGGGGGAACAGACAGACACAGGATATTGTGTGCAAGATGGCAGTAAATCTTATGGAGAAAAGTAAGGCAGAGAAGGAGGTGTGGAGCATGTGCAATGTCAGAGGTGGGTGGGGAATGTGCAATTTTAAGTAGGGCAGGTGATAGGAGAAAACACCTCTCAGCGGGTCACATCTGATGGAGGTCTAGAGGAGGTGAAGAAGCAATCACTGCAGAGTTTTAGGGAAAGAGCCAGCAACGGCCATATCCTGAGTCCAGAGAATGTCAAGACCATGTGTTGTCCAGGGCGCTGGAGAAAGATTGAGCTCTATTGAGCATTGACGACATATCGTGTACTGGATATAAAGGCTCTACCAATAAACTTGCCTAGAGTTATCCCCTCACCTTGTTTGTGGCAAAGCCAGGACTCAAATCCAGGCAACCCAACTCCATCGTTCATCTCTCTCACAGTTGTACAGAATGTGCCACAACTCATGGGCCTCCTACAACAAGTACTTGAATCATCGTAGCAAACCTAGTATTTGAACCTGAGAGTTACAAATCTTTGAAGCTGAGAGTCATTGCCATGTTTCATTTTTAAAACTCGTTTGCTTCCCTTACTTGGTTGGCCAGAGGTATGGCCCTAATACCTCCCACAAACACTCAATATGACATAACTTTCTGCAGCTTTTTAATAAATCCCTTAATGTTCACATTATATCTCAAGTCACTCCACTGATCTTTTCTTTTTTTTTTTTTAACTTTTGACACTTAAATATGAGATAGCTAGAGAATTTAAGTTGAATATAATATGAATTTTTCTTGCATAGTCCATAGACCATGAGCTTCTTGAGGGATGGGACCTATCTTCCACCTCATCTAAATGCCTCCTAATACCATATGTTCAACAGGAACTTAAGAGGAACATGTGATTATGTGCTATGATAATGTCTATCTGGTTCTTTGATAGTGTCTGTGTTGCTCTTTATTTCTGAATTTTAAATTGCCTTTCCTTTGGGAATAAGTAGCAGCCAAAGACTCATCAGAAAAACAAAGAGTATTTTAATAGCTTTAAAAATAGGTGAATCCAACTTTCAGCCTACTCTCTGCCTGTAGTGATCATCTGGACATTGCTAGAGAAAAACACTCATTTTTGAGTCATAACTTGAATCTAAAAGGAGCGTTCAGTGCTATTGGGCAAACTCACTTTATTGCCCCCAACAAATTCTTTTTCAAACCTCTCTCTTCCAAGATAGTCATTGCACTCCTCTTGTTCTCAAATCCCCAATTCCTCTTTCCACCACCTCGCAACTCATAACACAGTCCTTTGCTATGTGAGGAAAGTAGAAGCAGTAAGACCAAAACTCCCTCACCCTCCACCTTCACTTTGCTTACCTACCTCCGTCGTTACCCATATGCTCCACCTTCCCCCAGCTTCAATGAAAGAATTGTACCTACTTAAATCAAAGACTGATTCATCAGGATCCCATCTCTTCTGGAATTCTAAAGTACTTAGCTGAATTAAGTTGCTGAATAATGAACCACTAAAACAAGAAACAACACCACACACACACACACACACACACAAAAGCTGAATCATGAAGTTATAAAAATCCTTCTAGACTTCCAGTGAGAGATTTTAGAGTGAAGAAAGATGACAGATCTTCCTTCCTTAGTGCCAAATGAAATGAACTAAAAAGTGCTAGAAAACGAGCAAAAATTTCACTAGCAGCACCTGAAGAAGGAAGGGGGCACTCCCTTAGGTCACAAGATCAGAAAGTGGAGGCCAAAATTAAAAACAGAAGGTCCAGGCAAGCCAAACCATTTCCTGGCTCTTGATTCTGCCCGATTTGTAGAAGCAATAAAGCAAGTCAAAATCCTGAGAATACTCTTGAACATCCCCAACCCATTTGTGAATGAAAAAAAGAGAAAACACCTGTACCTTTCTGTAGGTTAGGATTCATATGTGTAGAGTGTAGCAACTTCTGGAAACAGATGGGTACACACTTGGAGATTGGTTAACAAACAGGAATTTACTGTAAGAAATGCAGAGGTTCTGGGTGGTTCTGCCACTAGCCCATGGAATGGCTTTGTGGGGATTTTAAAGAGGCCCATCCTCTTCTGAGTGGATGCACACCCAACCCAAGTGCTGGTTAGTTGAGTAGAAAGAGCATAGGATGATTTGAGCCCCACACAGCCTTTTGGCCAGGAACCCTTGTCCAGTAAACAATCCTACATGGCAACCCCAGGTCCAGGGCTCTGAATTGAGAGAATTGAGAGAATGAGCCAAGTCAGGAGAGTATTTCCTCAAGGAAGGTGCATCCTACCACTAAATTTCTAACCAAAGTCTCAGGGAATACCACCAAAAGTATCACCAAAGAGACCAAATCCTCCAACAAAGCCTGTCAATACTGTTCCGAAAGATTTTTCCTTTTGCAGACAGCTACACCCAATTTTTACCCTGGCCCTGAATCTATAGCTCAGAGGGATAGACTAATGGGGGCTCATGGAAGGATGTAAAAAAAATAAAAATAAAATAAAAATCTAAAATACTACTCAAAACGCAGAAATTCTGAACAGAATTGTCAAGGTCAAGTTAAACATGAGCCATATGACAAGAAGCAGCATGGTAACTATGTAATTGTACTGTGGCCAAAAAATGAAGAGATGGAAGATAGAAAATATAGAGAGAAGCAATGTATAAACCCCATTGTGTTTTCTTAAGAATCTTTTCTTTACTATATCACTTCACTGAGGTGAAGTTTCTTTTGAAGTTTCTTTTGAGTCTATAGGTTTCTTTTGAACCCTTATTTCTTCCTTGGTTTTAGCAAAAGGAATCCTATATTTAGCTTTGAACTTGTAAGTTCTTCTAATAGAAGAGGGCAGGTATTGCTGCAGGAAGGAGATGTAATTTTGAACAGCAACACCATTAAGAATAAAGAGGAAGGCTAAAATTATTTCCAAGAATAATATCCTATCTTTGGTATTTAAATAGTTTTATGAGTATTATGGTTACAGAACAGAATGTAAACATCATGAAACTTCACTATGAAAATAACACAAACAGCAAATATCATGAAAAGTGGAGGTAGATGTGGAAGGAATTATAATGCTAGCTTTCTCATTTTTCTTGGGAGGAAGTAAATCAACACTGATTCACAATAGAAATATATGTTTTAAAAACATGATGATTCTGACCTCTTATTCTTCTTCATGATATA